TTCTTGTTGGATTGTTCCCTTTACCAGGATGTAGTGGCCTTCTTTGTCTCTTCTGATTAATTTTTCTTGAAATCTGCTTTGTCAGATTTGAGAAAAATTACAACTTGTTTTCAGACTCCATTTGCATAGATTTTTTTTCTATCCTTGTCTCCCTTTAGTCTGTATCTTCACCTATGAGATGAGTCTCTTGCAAATAATATATAGGTTAATATTGTTTTATGATCCATTCTGCTAATTTCTGTCTTTTAGTTGGGGAGTTTAGAACATTTATCTTCAGTGTTGATATGGGTATGTGTCTGTAGTTTCCTGCCAGCTTGATTTTTTGCTATATTTAATTGTCTTGATTCTCATTAACTTGATTACTTTTATATTAGCCTTCACCTATTTGGGAGTTTAGGATTTGTTGGGGGTTTTCTGTGTGCAGTGTATCTATGAGTGTTCTTTGTAGTGCTGGGTTGGTACTCATGAATTCTTTTAGTTTATCCTTGTCATGGAAAATTCTGGTCTAATTACACCCCACCTGTCAAATCAAAGCCAAATAAGAAACAACTGCAAAAGGAAACAATTATGTAAAAGTAAATTATATAAATGTATATATATTTTTTCAAACCTAGTTGTACAGTGAAAATACACTGACACACCCACCCACACACACACACACACACACACTCACACAAATCCACATGCACTCACACAAAAAATCATGTATAGTGTAAAAAAGTAAAATATAATCCAATATGATGAAATGATGTTTGAAAATGTTTTAAGTGTTAAAATTTAAAAACAAAGAAGAAAAAAATGGATTAAAATGGGAATGTGAGGGAAAAGCAATAAAGAAAAAGAAAAAAGAGAGGAAAAATCTTAATGAAAAATAAAGGTCTTGTTTCTGCTGTGGTTGTGGAAAACGTTGGCAGGACTGGATTTTCCTTGTTTATATTTACTGTTGGCTCTGTAGCTGTTGGTCAAGAGCTGGGGATTATTAGGTCTAATGTCTTTTCATTCCGCTCCTCCCTGCCAGCTGGGTGCAGTAACTCTCAGCTTCCCATCTCTCAGCACAGGGGAGAAGAGTTGGGAAGTGCTGGTGAATGGTGCAGTCCTGCAGTGGGTGAGGCAGACTTCTGACCTGGATGCTCCAGTCGTTGGGGTTTAGACTTTGAGGAACCTTTGGAACTCTTTAGGTGGGTGTTTGAGATTTGATCCATGCCCCCATTGCTGGGAAGATACCAGTGGTGTCTGCTGGCTGTCCGGATCTCTGGGGCCTCTGGTAAAATTCACCTTTAGCCCATAACCCTCCACAGGTTTCACCTTCCCTGCTGTGAATGTGAATTATCCAGTATCCACCTAGAGGGCAGAAGCTCCTGTGTGGTCACTGCATGTCTTTCCATTGGCTCTTATGGGACCACCAACAAGAGAGCTTTCTCCTCTTCGTAGCCAGAGCCTCTATGAGCAGGTAAATACTATTAGTGCCTACTTCAGTGACTCTGGTTCAGGCACACCTTGCTGGTCACAATATGAGACTGCTAGCCGCTTCCTTTGCATGTTCCTGATCTGTCTCTGCTCATTTCCAAGCAGCATTTATGCACAGCTCCCAGACCATACTCATGGTCATTTTCTGGGCCAGTGACCTCAGCTATCTGGCCAAGGGACCCAAGTAATTTGGGGTTGTTTTTTCTGAACCACATTCCCGGTGGAACTCTGTGTTCATTAAGATCAGTCTCCCTCTCATATCCATAGGTTCCCTGAAGCCAATTAAAAAATAATAATTTGTTCTTATTCTGCACACTGCTGTCACACTGTGTAGTCTCCCCCAGCCCCTCAGTGGCCACCACCAGACAAGGTGGTGCATCGCTAATGTATTATTTCTTACATTCTCTTCAAAGTTTCTGACTCTCTGTGTCTCTGTGGTTTCTTTTACAGACCAGTGTTGGGTTTCAGTGAGTTCACCTGGTAACCCACCTCACTGAGGAACAGTCTTCCCACTTCCTGAGTGATGCTGAGAAACTCCTAGAAGTGCATTCTTCCTCCAATCTGCCATTTCTCTCCCTAAACATTTTAAAAACATGAAATTTTTCAATCCATGAACATAGATTTATGTCTTTTAAAATTTCTTTCAACAGTGTTTTGTAGCTTTCATTCTCTTTGTTATTATCATGAATGGACTTGTGTTCATGATTAATATCCAGAATATATGAAGAACACACAAAACTTAACACCAAAAAACAAATCCCAATTAATAAATTAGCAAATGAACTAAAGAAACACTTCTCAAAAGAAGAAATACAAATGGTCAATAAATATATGAAGAAATGCTCAATATCTCTATCAATCAGGGTGTTTCAGTCAGGTTTTTTTTTGTTTGTTTGTTTGTTTGTTTTTGTTTTGTTTGGCTGTTGTGACCAAAAGTACTGATGAGAACAATTTAGGGGAGGAAAAGTTTTAGAGGTCTCACAGTTTTAGAGGTGTCGGTTCATAGATGGCCACTCCATTGCTCCTTGTCCAAGATGTGGCAGAACATTATGCAAGAAAAATGTGGTAGAAGAAAGTGGCCCAGGACATGGCTACCAGGAAGCAGAGAGTGACTTCTGCTCTACAAGGACAAAATATATACCCCAATGGCAACCCCTAGAGACCACCTCCTCCAGCAAGACCAAACCTGCCTACAGTTACGACCCAGTTAATCTGTTCAAGTGGATTAATCCAAGGATTAAGTTAAATTTTTCATGATCCTATCATTTCACCTCTAAACTTTCTCACATTGTCTCACATTAGAGTTTGGGGAAACAACTAATATCTAAACTATAACACAAGGAAATGCAAATCAAAATTAAATTCAGGTTTCATCTCGCTCCAATCAGAATAGCAATTATTGGGATACAAATAATAATAAATGTTGGTGAGGATGTGGGGGAAAAGGCATACTCATACATTGTCGGTGGGACTGCAAATTATACAACCACTCTGAAAAGCAGTATGAAGATTCCTCAAAAAACTAGGAATGAAACCAAAAACTAGGAACAAAACCATCATACGACCCAGCTATGCCATTCCTTGGCATATATCCCAAAGATCCAAAACCAATATACTATAGGAATGCAGCCACATCAATGCTTATAGCAGCACAATTCATAATAGCCAAGCTATGGAACTAGCCTAGGTACCCATCAACAAACAGATGGAAAAGAAATTGAGGTATATTAACACGATGGCATTTTATTTTATCATAAAGAAGAATGAAGTGATGGAATTTGCTGGTAAAGGGATGGAACTGGAGAATATCATGCTGAGTAAAACTAACCCAGGCACAGAAAGTCAAGGGTTGAATGATTTCTCTCACATGCAGGAGCTAGAGCAAAATAAGGATGGGGGAGAGAGGGGGGGGGAATTCCATGAAAACAGAAAAAAAGATGAGTACAATATAGGAAGGTGATTGCGGGGGAAAGAGTAAAGATGGATTAAGGGAGGACAGTGGAATGAAGCTGATCAAACTTTCCCATGTGCATATGTGAAGATACCACAGTGAATTTCTCCTTTATGTAAACCCATGATGTACTAAGGTTTTAAAAACAAATAAATAGAAGTAAGATGAGTAGAGGGAAGGAAACAGGGGAGGGAAGAGGGGCAGGAAAGGGCAAGTGCTTGGAACTGAATCAGAGCCAATCATGTTCCATGTTTGTATAGTTATGTCAAAATGAACCCCCAATATCATGTGTATCTATAATGAACTAAGAAAAAATTATCTTTGTGCTTTTAAGAAAAGCTTAATGCTGAGCTTAAAATGCAAGAAACAAAACACTATGTTTTATCATTTTACAACTCGGTGGACTGAGACGGACATCATTTCCCTAAATACATGTATGAAGACACGAATGGTGTGAGTCTACTTTGCAACCAGAGATATGAAACTTGTGCTCTATATGTGTAGTATGAATTGTAATGCATTCTGCTATCATATATAACTATTTAAAGTTAAAAAGCAATATGTGTTTTTATTTTACTTATATAAATTAAAAAATAATGAATATATTAAAACTAATAAACTATAATAAATTAATGTAAAACTAATGAATAACTATAATGTGCTAATAAAAGCATAAGAACTAATGAGTATATTATTTAGGGACATAAATAATAAAATTATTTTAAAAAACCAAATAAATAATACAAAATTCAAGATAGTGCTTACTCAGGGGAATTGATCTGATCATCTAACTGGGAAAGCACATGCAGACTAATACTTAGGATAATAATATCTTTTCTACACTAGATAAACAGCATTTTTATTTAAATTTTTTTGTTAAATGCATATCTAAACTCATGGGTACAGTAGATTTTTTCAAGAGCTTACAAAGACTAATAGTTTTTAAAACAAAGTTTAAAGGGACTACAATTAATACTAACTTATTTTTAAAAAATAATATGAAAGGATACACCATGCTGACGATTTTAAACCTTTATTGGTTCTATAAATCTTTTGGTGGGAATTCTTTCCAAACTCCAAATGCTCTGATGGGAGACCAGTGTGACAGGGCTCTCCTGGCTCAAGTTTGAAGGGAACTCCTGAGGACCTCCTAAGAAGGAATGTTATCTGTGGTCAGATCATTTACTTTGAAGGATCTAGATGCCAAATTCAATAGAAAATACCTCACTGAACAGGAGCAGTAGCTAGAACTAACAGTGCTGATTAGGATAAAGCGGGGTTTCTGACCTTGTTCACTTTTGCACGTGCTTGACTTTGCGCTGGGGTCCTGCCTTAGCGGGGTCCATGGGGTCCTGAAGGATGAGTGGCCTCCGCGAAAAGGATGAGACAGGAGTCATTCCATTGGAGCAATCTCCAGGAGCTCTAATGCAGCTTTCTCTGGGTCATCTTTTATTGCAATTTTTCTCATCATAATGGATTCAGAATACATCATTGATTATATAATTTCAAAATCATGCCAAGACGTGACATTTCCTTAACCATCATTAGAGGTACAGAAAAATGTAACATTAATTTACATTTTCCCAGGATGTGACATTTACTTATCAGTTATTAAGGGTACAGAATCATCAATAAATTACATCACTAATTTACATTTTTCAGATTTTCCCAAGATGTACTATTTTTCCCAAGATATGCTAATTTCTTATTAACTAATGCCAAACTATGTAACCAGACTCTAAATCTCCTAACCTATCATTAACCTTTAAGTTTAAAGTACACCTGCACTTTATTTTTAATCTAAAATTCCCATGTAAAGAAGTTCCCTTAAATCTTATCCTAAAAATATCCTAAAGTCTATAAACCATCCTTAAAGTCTTATAAAGCTACTTTAATTAATTCATACATTTATCCTCATAAAACTGGTTGAGCTGCTTTCTCAAAGAGTTTCTTTGTTTCTTAGTCAAGGTGCACTTGTTCTTGTATCTTTATAATCTCTCTCAGTAAAAGGCAAGTTCCAAACCTCAGTCCACTTACCGCCAATATTAACTATGCTCATCATAAATCCCTATGTGAAGTAAAAGAGGGTTTATAGAAAAGAGGAGAATGTATCTTTATATGTCTTAACTTTCCTAAGTGTATAACATGACTTTCCTTCAAAAATAAGTCTACATATGGTGGGATTTGTGCAATTAGCATAATGATTAGACGTTCTAAGAAGCCGAAAACATGGGCTTGAGTTCTTAGTTGATATAATCAATGAGGTGCTTCAAATTCTCGTGACCTTTCACAGAATGATTGTTGTCCATTATCAGTTTTGTCCTCAATGTACTGAGATAGAAGAGCAGCCTTCTGCTTTGTCCTTGATATGCTGAGACATAGTAGAACAGCCTTCAAGGCATGAACTACCTGTTATGTTCTAGCCATCTGAAATTTAATTTGGTTTAGCATTTAACATACTCATGCCTCCTGTCAGGAACATGAGCATGAAAATCAGAAGTCCCAATTACGTAAAAAGGGGTCTCATGGTCGAGGTTTCCCTCCAGCCAGCGCGGTTTTGCCAGCTTCACTTGACCTTGTCAAGACAGTGAGAGGGGAGGCACCTTCACCAACTTTGATTTGACATAATTCTGGTTCTTTGATCCAACCATATTCTCCTGGATCCCTCAAGAAATTGCCTCACCCAGGTCAATCTGGACCACATACTGACCTTCTCCACACAAGGAGACAACGCAGCACAAATATTATGTTTCCATGATGGAGGCAGTTAGTCTTGGCACTAAATCCTTGCTCTTCTGCTTAATAGCTGTTTGATCAATTTTCTTATTGGCAAAATTGGCGTGATAGAAATATTTCATTTTATAGGCTAGAGGAAATAATGAAGTCGAGTTTTCTGATGAAAGTGTTATTTTTCATCACTCTGCATTTATTCTTCATTCTTTTAAAATTTCATTTGGTGATCAGTCCCGTTGGAAATGTGGATCTAAGTGTCCTGTCATTCCCTCATTGAGGGTCTGGCGCTGCAGGATCTTGAATCCTGCGAGGAGGTGTTCATGGATGGAAAATGAAAGTCTGATTTCATTTAACCTAGACCCCGTCCCACTCCCTCGCCTGCGAAGGACTTGATATCAGTCAAGTCCAAGGGAGGCTCTGCATTCTCATCTTTGATTCAGTGAGCTTCCTCATGTCTCTCTAGTATTTCAATATTGTTAGAATTGGTTTGGGGCACGGACATGGTGCTAGAAGCACTAGGTACAACCTCTGTCCCATAACAGGTATTTATAGTGTTAGTTGGTATTGTTTGTACAATAGAAATCTTTCTTGACAACAATTCTACTGGACTTTCTCTGGTCCTGTGAATGGGGACAGTGGTTTGGATATGAGGTGTCCCTGAAAAGCTCCTGTATTAATGCAGGAGGTGAAGTGATTAGATTATGAGATCTGAAGCCTGAAGAGTCCATCCTCATTTAAATGGACTGACCTGTGGTAACTGCAGGTGAGTGGGACATGGATGGAGGACTTGAGACTCTGGGGATGTTCCCTGGAAGGGTTCAACTTCCTGCAGTCCCTCTCCTTTCTCTCTTTGCTCCTGGGCCACCATGAGCTGAGTAGCTTTCCCTCGCTGTGCATTTGAATAGGAGGCTCTGCCTCATCTCAGGCCCATGGCAGTGAAACTGGTGGATGTGGTGAGCCGCTTCTGCCGTTTCTGCAGACTATGGTCGCCATTACGAGATGGCGCTGGCTCCGCTGTGGTATGTGACAAACAACTCCTTATCTGAGAGAGTTGGCACATGATTTTCACCACCCTGTGAGAAAGC